ACGCAAATCCATTAATATATGCTCAAATATTCATTACAACTAATTTATAGCAATTCCTAACCCCGACTGGAAAGTTGACCAAAACGCCCTCGGTCCCACGTGCCCAGAATCCAAAACTTTTCGAAGATAAAGTTTACCCATAACCTTAGGAACTCGAATATATAATATTCTCTTAATTCCATACTCAAAATCGTAATCAAAATCCAAGATTTCTAATTTCCTAGGTTTTCAACCAAAACCCCAAATTTACACTAATCTTCATACTTAAATCCATACATAATTGATATATTTAACACAAAAGTGATGGGGATAACTTACCTTGACATTGACGACGAAAATCCCCTCATTGAAGCTCTCCAAAATCGCCCCAAGCCATGAGAAATATGAGAGAAATGGCCAATCCCCGACTTTAAATTAACCTTCTGCCTCCAGGGATTTTCGCTTCTGCGGAAATAATCCCGCTTCCACGGTCCCGCTTTTGCGGAAAATATTCCGCTTCTGCGGTCCCTGAGCTCAAGCCCATTTTCGCTTCTGCGATGAGCCAACCGCTTCTGCGGTTCCGCATCAGTGGATCATGGGCTGCTTCTGCGGTCCTGGCTGCCCTCGCCCTCGTCCGCTTCTGCGGCTTCTTCTTCGCTTCTGCGGGGCCGCTTCTGCGGTCCCATTTCCGCAGAAGCGGAAATAACAGATACCAGCTGCCTCAGCACTTCTTCAAACTCCGGATTCGATCCGTTAGCCACCCGGAATCCACCCGAGGCCCCCGGGACCCCAACCAATCATACCAACCAGTCCCAAAATACATTACGGACTTGCTCGAGGCCTCAAATCATAACAAACAACGTTAAAACCATGAATTACACCCCGATTCAAGCTTTATGAACTTTGAACTTTCCAACTTCTATTTCGGATGTTTAAACCTATCAAATCACGTCCGATTGACCTCAAATTTTGCACACTAATCATATTTGACATTACGGACCTACTCCAACTTTCAGAATTGGATTCCAACCCCGATATCAAAAAGTCAACCTCCGGTCAAACTTCCCAAAAACCTTCAAATTTCTATCTCTAGCCAAATGGCTTCAAAATGACCTACGGACCTCCGAATTCACTTCCGATCGTGCTCCCAACTCCAGAATCACCATACGGAGCTATTCCCAGACTCGGAATGCCAAACGGACATCGATAACACTGAAATGCACTTCAAGCCAAACTTAAGAAATTCCTTCTAAATTGCTAACTTCCACATTAGGCGCCAAAACGCTCCCTGGTTATCCAAAACCCGATCCGGGCATTCGCCCAAGTCCGAAATCATCATACGAACCTGCTAGAACCTTCAGATCCCGATTCCGAGGTCGTTTACTCAAAATTCTAATCCTAGTTCATTCTTTCAACGTTAAGCTTCCGAAATGAGAATTCTCTTCCCAAATCAACTCCGAACTTCCCGAAATTCAATTCCGACCACGCGTACAAGTCATAATACCGGAAATGAAGCTGTTCATGGCCTCCGACGGCTAAACGGATCGCTAGCACGCGAAACGACCGGTCGGGTCGTTACATGACCAATTTGGATTCACACTGAAAAATTTCACTTTGGAGATATAACCCTTCCTATCAAAGGGCTAAGGATTTTATTTCTAGAACTCAAATTCGAGACCTATAGTAAGGATGATTGAATACTTACCACACCCACCAAAACTTTTGATGGTTTGATAGTTCCGACCTTGAGTTAAAGTTGGATATAGTGGCTTTCCCAACTATTCTTGGGGTTTTGCATTTACTTCCTAACAAAGCTTATAACTTTATGGACTAAAACAAGCACCCAAGCAATGGCACGCGAAATTTGACCAAACAATATTGTCAAATGGCTTTAAGATTAATGAATGTGATAAATGTGTTTACATTAAGAACGTTCCAAATCATATAGTCATTGTTTGCTTATATGTTGATGATATGCTAATAATGAGCAAAGACATTGCCGACATTTATGCTACTAAGCGTATGCTTGCTAGTAAGTTTGATATGAAAGACTTAGGAGTTGCCGATGTAATTCTAGGAATTAAAATCCAGAGGACTCCTCAGGGTCTAGCTTTGTCTCAATCACATTACGTGAAAATGGTACTTGAAAAATTCAAACACTTGGAATTTAGAAGTGCAAGAACTCCAATTGACTTAAATCATCATCTTATAAAGAATAAAGGTGAAAGTACGTCTAAATTGGAGTATGCTCGTGCGTTGGGAAGCTTAATGTACATCATGAACTGTACACGACCTGATATAGCTTGTGCAATAAGTAAACTTAGTCGATTCACAAGTAATCCAAACAAACATCACTGGGTGGCAATGAAACGAGTTCTGGGATATTTGGAATATACCCAAGACTACGCTTTGTACTACAATAAATATCCCGCGGTTATCGAAAGATATAGTGATGCAAATTGGATAACCGGCTCAACAGAAACAAAGTCCACAAGTGGATATGTTTTACTGTTGGTGGAGGAGCAATATCTTGGAAGTCTTCCAAACAAACGTGCATCGCTCGCTCTACAATGGAATCAGAGTTTATAGCTTTGGATAAAGCCGGTGAAGAAGCTGAATGGCTTCGAAATTTCTTAGAAGACATTGCGTTCTGGCCAAAACCTTTGGCTCCTATTTGCATACATTGCGATAGTGAGGCTGCAATAGGACGGCCAGGGAGCGTTATGTATAACGGAAAGTCTCGTCATATACGACGAGACATAACACCGTTAGACAACTACTTTCTAGTGGAATTATCACTATTGATTATGTAAGATCAAAGGATAATGTGGCGGATCCGCTTATAAAAGGCTTAACTAAAGACTATGGCCGAGGACAAGTCAACATGGCGGTAACTCTACCTAGAATTTTGGATGTTCCGAGATCTAGGTTCAAGGAGCTCAAACAAAGTTGTGATTGACCGGTTCAACATTGTCAAAGTAAAATCTTTGGTCCCTTCTCGTGATGAAGACAATGTTCAGTAACAAGGATAGAACTTTACACGTTCTTTAATGATTACCTAAGTTTGGTGTGGTATTTATCAAATAGTGTCAATCTAAAGGATTACACGTAATCACCTATGTAAGTGTAAAGTGGAAGCCGCTTCAATGAGAATTTTGTAAGGCCAATTCTCTACACACTTATGAAACCAGGCGGTGTTCATGGCTGAAACGAACACAACAATGAGAACCAAAAGACGGTTAAGGGTTGGTTGTGTGACATATGCTTGTCTAGGTATACACTAAAGTTCGACGGTTCAATTGATCGAGTATATCCAACATATGTTCACTACGGAAAATTCAAAGGGAAACCTACTTATCCAGATGCGATTAATCCTTACTTGCAAATCACACAGCTTTCATCTATGATCATTCTTGTTACAGCCATTCCCATTAATGTGGGGAATTGTTGGACTTTAAAGGCATTGGGCTTCAAAGACTTTAAGCATTGGACTTTAAAGTCTAAGAGTGTGAATTGGAAATGATGGGAAATAAAATGGAGGGAAATGAAAATTTGAATAAAGTGAGCTTTTGACTTGCACTTTGTCCCTCATTGGTGAGGGACAACTACATTTGTGTGCTTATATATAAAATCACTTTTAAAGCTCTTAAAAGGAGTTGAAGAGAATGAACCCTCGCGCCGTCGTCGCTCGCTCGCTCGGCTCGGGTTCGTCTTTGGATTTGGATTTGGATTTGTCAAATGATCGATCCATAAGATTATTTTTGGACAAAATTTATTTAATAATTAATTAAATGCCAGATCACTGCTGAAGATTCAGAAGGATAGTCTGGCCGCGGTCCTGGCGTAACCGCGGTAGGACCGCGCCGGAACACTACTGCAGATTCAGAAGGCTAGTTTGGCCGCGGTCCTGGCGTAACCGCGGTAGGACCTCGGCAGGACGCGTAAACTTCTGAACAGACACCTTTTCCAGAACAAACATCACACCTCTTCCAATAATTGCCTATAAATTCTGAGGCATGGCTTCGTTTTTAACACACCAAAAACATTACAGAACTTCTTTCTGAAAATACTGCATTCTAATTCGCAGTCTCTCTCTCTCAAATTCGTAAGTGTGATTTTGCTCCGTTCTTTGAGTTCGTTGGTATTCTGCAGTTTGTATTGCCACTGTTGCAGGAAGGTTTATTCCGTTTCATCCTGGGAGGATTTAATCCATTACCTTGGCAACTTGTGAGGGGGTTAAAATTCCTTAAGGACGCACAAGCAAATTGTGGACTCGAAATATTTCTTATTCTTTACTGTTTTCCAGTTTCTTTTATTCTTCTAACAGTTTTCTGATTTTGTGTTTTAACACAGTAGTGGACAACAATATTTTACTAATTAATTGAGTATTTTGAGTCAAAAGGGTGCCTAAAGACATTAAAAAAACAAAAAAAATATTTAATATGTACAAACTAAAGAGCATTATATTAGTGAGTGAAATTTATGTCTAAGTTTTATTTTATTTTATCAGCGGAGTTTAATCGTGGAATAAAATTATCAAAGCTTAATTTTCCAACAAGAATTGACTAATTAAGCTTAATAAACCAGGAATATAACAGTACCTTCTTTTGGGTATATCCTATATTAATAAACCTTATCCTAATGATATCCAAGTTGTAAATCTAATCAAACCCCGTGTCGGAAAAATAGTAATTTCCCATTAATTTTTTTATATTTAGTCCTCGTTATCCTAGAGATATCCAAGTTGTAAATATAATCAAAACGTAAGGTCAAGAACATAAAAATTCCCAATAACAATGTGGACACATTTTAATACAATATAATTAAATACTCCTCAACTCTTTTTTCCAATATTTTTATACATGCAATAACTCTTTCAGCACCCCACCCCCCACTCTGCCCACCCCACCACCACGATTGTCCTCAATCATTCTTCTCTTTCTTCTTCACTTTTTCTTTCCTCCAATCATCTCGTTCAAAATTTTTATTTATTTTTATATATATCTGTAAATAATCTCTTGAACTTTGAAGTGTGAAAATAGAAAAAGAAAAAAAAAGAAAGACATTTCTCTTTCTGCACGTCTCTGTGTATATGTACTTTTCTTTTTCTCAATTTGGTAATCTACTCGATCGTGGTCCACTTTTTGTGGGTGTTTTCGTTCTTATAAATTTTTAGCCAAAATTTGCTCTTTTTCTTTTGTTTGGAGTCTTTGCTTTGGTACCTTTCTGCTACTGTCCTCTGGCTTTGAGAAATTGAACTGTTGTTGAGGTACTTTCTTTTATTTTCCCTTTCTTTTTGCTGGTTTTGACACATATTCTGCTTCTCTTTTTACGAGTCGGTCTTGAAATTGAAGCTTGTGAACTTGTTTTCGTGAGGTGTTAATGGGTTAGTTTTGCTTAATCTAGTTTTCTAGGTTTTAACCTGTGTGAGTTTGCATGAGGGGGTTTCGAGTGAGCACTTTTCCTTTTTTTTTTTGAACCTTTTTTTATTGTTTGGGTTTTGGGTAACTAATAGCCTGCAATTCTCCTGACAATTCTCCCTTTTCTGTGGTTGATGTTAATTTTGTATGTGATTATATTGAGTTTAGAAAAAGTTGGGAACTTTGACTTTATTTGGGTGTTTTTGTAATGGAGTAAAGAAACAATCTTTAGGTGGTTTTGGAAGTAGTAAAGAAACACTCCCTTGTTTTGTTTTGAGATGAATGAAATTGACCATAAACCAATGCTGGTGTTTTTGCAGTTGTTTATCTATGTTCTTCTGTCTGATTGTTTATTTATTAACTTTTATTGCTCAAACATCTTTGAAAGATATTTAGTACGGATTGGAGAGAGTAGATTTTTGCTAAGTAACCTATTCGGTATATCTTGGTCTCATTTAATTTTGTCATTACTAAAGTGGAAACAAGGAGTTGCAGAGGTTTTTAAAAAAAAGATTAGATCTTTAATTAGAGTTGGCATTTTTGGAGGATCCTGTGGGTTTAGGATTTTAAGGAGAGGTATCTTGGACCAAGCGAAAGTTATTGCCTAATTGATGTAGTTGTGGACCGAAAAGGATGACTATCTTCTATGGCAAGAGTAAAGCTTTATCCATAAGTTTAAGAAGTGAAGCTGCAACAGTGGCAAGAGTTTAAATTGTGCAGTTATCTTAATTTGTCTATAAGAGCTGGTAAAGAGCACTCACTGCCTTATCGACCAGTATTCTCGTCCTGTACATGCCTATTAAGTTAATTTTTAAGTTAATTTTTTTTTTTGGTTAAGATCCTGTCTGGTTTCTTTAGCAAATCTATATAAATGTAGACTATGAAAACCTCCCATTCTTCAGAAAGAAAATGAATGATTCAGAATAAACTCACATAGCAAATGTGAAGGTGATAGGATAGGCTCAACCTCAAAGTGTTCCTTCCCGTCAGGGGCGAAGCTACATGGGGTGGTCGTTGAAAAATTACACTGTATATATAGGTAAAATATTAGATTTTAAAGGTATATAACATATATTGAACACCCTTTATCGGGATTTTTTTTTACTTCTTTCAAGTAATGCCCTAGATAAAATTCCTGGCTTCGCAACTGCTTCCAGTTATATAATGTTGAGAATATCACTTTACTATGTAATATCGTACTATTTTATGTTAGGTAGTTTGTGTGCTTTTGATCTTAGCTGGATTGTTTACCAATTTTTTAAGTTGGCCCTTTCTAGTTTCCTTGTGTTTGAAAGTGTGGGACAGTATCCTGTGACCAATTTTTCAAAGTGGCCGATTGTCCACCGAGATTCTCCATGAATGATACTGGATTTATTAATCGGCCCGACTTATGCTGCATTACAGATCCTCTAAAGATGCCAATGCTAAATGTATCGAAAGAAAAGGGAAGAACACCGTGGGAGATTTTTCCAGGAGTTGATTCTATCCATGGCTCAAATGATGCTTCGCTTTTTTCGAGCTCAGTGCCTGTTCTTCTACATGAGAAGCGTAGGAATACATTTATGAGTCTTCTACTCATACTTCATTTGCCTATTTTCTTTGAGAAAATCTCACATCCTTTTAATTTCCTTGAAATTCTTGGTAATAGTGAAATTGAGTGAGGTGGACCATGGTCATCAGTCCGTTGATGACGCATCAGCCAGCTTGAAAGAAATTCACCCCGATGTAGAGGTTGAGGAGCTGTTGGATGATGGTGAAAATCGTGCAATTGGAAGCTTGCTCCCTGATGACGAGGATGAACTTTTAGCTGGCATAATAGATGGGTTTGGCCCTAGCCAATTTCCCAATCACGTAGATGACTTGGAAGAGTATGATCTTTTTGGAAGTGGAGGAGGCTTAGAATTGGAGTCTGATGCTCATGAAAACTTAAACTTCGGTATATCGAGAGTGAGTCTGGCTGATCCTGTTGTTAGCAATGGAGCTGCTCATGTTGGATTTTCAAATGGTGGGGCAACTGTTACTGGAGAACATCCACTTGGAGAGCACCCTTCGAGAACATTATTTGTTCGCAACATAAATAGCAATGTCGAGGATTCAGAGCTAAGAAGTCTCTTTGAGGTTAGTTACTCACGGCGTACACTGTGTAGCTATTATTATTATTATTATTATTTTTAATTTTCACGTGAACTACTCTTCCAGTTTGTCCGTGCTCTATCCTAATGGGAGTTCCCTGCATTTGTAATACTGCTTTCTCTTAGGGATTGATTTTGTTAGTCGGTTTTGCAATTGATCTAAACATATATTGCTCTTCCGTCTTCTTTTCTGAATTGCTGGACGAGTATTTCTGTAGAACAAATTTTCTTTTCTGCAAGTAATACTTTAGGATGTCTTTTACTTTTTCTGGAGGCTTCATACTGATTCTGATTTCTTTTTTCTTTCTCTAGACTTGATCAGTTGAACTGCCTTAAGGTTTTGCTTTTTCTTGTTGATACATATAGTGATATTCTGCTTATTCTGAGTTTCTCTTGTAGTGATAGCATACCTATCTCTGTTCATGAGATGTATCGAGTTGTTGGGGAAACCTGCTATCTTATTACTGCATGAGCTGCAAATTAAATTTAACAAGGAAAATGTCAAAGCCCTGGCCTAATGTGTTTGCAGTATCACGTCTGAGTTTACTGGTTGTTTGACAGACAAGAAATGTCTTGGAAAGTTGCTGATTTATTAGGTGTTTTTTCCTTCTTATAATCCGTTTCCACTTTTGACATACTTTTTGTTTTTGCTAATTAGCAATATGGTGATATCCGGACTCTCTACACTGCGTGTAAGCATAGGGGCTTTGTCATGATATCCTACTTCGATATTCGTGCTGCTCGAACTGCACTGCGAGCATTGCAAAATAAGCCACTGCGGAGGAGAAAACTAGATATACATTTCTCAATCCCAAAGGTGGTAATTTGCAGGCTGCTTTTAGTGGTTTACACAATTAGATTGTATGTTACATACCTTTTCCTGACTAACCTCCTCCTTCTCCTATTACTCTTCTTCTCTCCACCTCTCAATGTACATATATCAGGATAACCCCTCAGACAAAGATATGAATCAAGGAACTCTTGTGGTATTTAATCTGGATCCGTCAGTATCAAACGATGACCTCCGCCAAATATTTGGGGCTTATGGTGAGATCAAAGAGGTCAGAGACTCAAATAGTCGAATCATTTATTTCCCATTTTACTCCATCTATTCATTTCCCCTCGTGTGCTACCTCAAGGGGCTAGTTGATATTAAGTATATGTGATATCCCAGTTTCTCTCATTGCAGATAAGGGAAACACCACACAAGAGGCACCATAAGTTTATTGAATATTATGATGTTAGAGCTGCAGAAGCTGCCCTTAGGTCCTTAAATAGGAGTGACATAGCTGGCAAGCGCATAAAACTTGAACCAAGTCGCCCTGGAGGAGCTCGTCGAAAGTGAGTAATCCACTATGATTTGTTTTCTTGATCAAAATAAAACTAGAATTTGTTTTCTAACACTTTAGAAGCTTAAAGTAGTCCTTTCTGGTTCATGAGCTTCACTAACCTTTTGCTGTTAGCCTGTTACTAGCATCCAGAACAACCTAGTTACTTTTCATTCCTATCCTTCTGCTCTGTTTTCACAAGTGTCTGGCTATGTTCTCCTTTTTTTTTGATAACCGAGAAACCCCCGAGTCCAATGGCACATGGTTCGAAACTCGGTGTTTCTGTTTTCCCTTTTCTTTTTTGCTTTTGTTCCATTTCGCTAAATTGCTGAATTAGATTACAGGATGATGATCAGACCAGCAAGCTCCCCCCAATCTCCCCCACCCCCACCAAAGCAAAGGTAAAAAAAGGAAATTACTGAAGACTTCAACTGAAATGAGGAAAGTAATAGTAGCATAGACATGTAAAAGTAAGTGTAATTACACCAACAACTTACAATGGCGTGATGGTGTCCCTTTGCATACTCTCTTCTCTCCTTGGTTTAAACCATGTTTATTTTAAATACTGAGATTCTTGTGCATCTTTAAGTGGGATACTCACCAGCTGCTGCTTCTCCTTCCTTGTGGATGCTTTTTCCTCTCAGCCTTTTTATACCCTCGAACTTGAGCTCTTGTTGAACACGCCATATAATATTATCAGTTTGATATCATGTAAATTCTAGAGCTTGTTGATGTTTATGATGAGTCTTTTGGTTGGTGTTCCTTCAACAAATTTGAGGTTGCACTACTTTGAGCTTGTTGATGTTTATGATGCTTCTGTTTTTGGGCTGTTACATATCTGGGTTCAGTTTATTGAATCTTGAGTCTGATCTAGGCACACTTTTCTTCTTTATGCTGCACTTGTAGTTCTACGTTGCAAACAAATCAAGAACCTGAACAAGATGACTCTTGGACTTTTCGGTACCCATTGGGTTCCTCAATTGGTAATTCCTCGCCGGGTAAGTTTACTGAGTGTTTCCACTTCTGTGTAATGCTGAAACCATTTAAGGTTCTTCTTTCTCTTCTTTTGTGCCTGTTGTTCTTTATTTTTTATTTTTTTAATTTGGGTTGGTAGAAAAGGCGGCAAGTGATGGACTTAATTAATTAACTTCTTTGATTGCAGTTATACTATCTGATAGTATGTGCATTCTTATATTTCTGGCAGGTAATTGGCCACAGTTTGGCAGCCCTATAGAGCATAGCTCCATGCGAAGTCCTGGCACTTCACCGGGCTTTAGATCCCTGAGTCCCACAATGGGCAATAATTTACTTGGTTTAGCTTCAATTTTGCATCCTCATGCATCAAATTCCTTGAGGGTAGCACCTATAGGTGAGGATCACAGAATGGGCGGTCATGCAGATGTCCCTAATGGTTCAAACCATGGTGTTCCCTTCCATCAGTCTCATTCTTTCCCTGAGCCTAAGATAAGCCAGTTTGGTGGAACAGTGTCATCTTTGGGTGCCTCAAATTCAAATGGTTCTGCTGTTGAAACATTATCAGGACCACAGTTTCTTTGGGGCAGTCCAAAGTTGCAACCTCAACAGAGTAATTCTTCATCCTGGAAAGCCCAGTGTTTGGTGAATGCTTTTACATCTGGTGGTCAGGGTGACATGTTTTCCTTGTCAAATCATCAAAAGTCTTTCCTCAATTCATCTCAGCACCATCATCATAACCTTCACCATGTTGGATCTGCTCCATCTGCTCTTCCCTTTGATAAGCACTTTGGTTTTTACCCAGACTCTCCGGTCTTAAGTCCAAGTTTTAGAGGTATGGGTATAGGTCCTCGTGACGGAAGTTTGATGGTTAACTATGGTGCTCGTACCACTTTGAATTCTGGTGTTGCTGTTCCAGGGAATATGTCAAACAATGGTTCTCCTGGTTTTGGCATGATGTCTTCCCAAAGACCGAGTCCTTTATTCCTAGGTAATGGTCATTTCTCAGGACATGCAGCTTCTAGCTTTGAGGGGCTGACTGAACGCAGCCGCACTCGACGTATTGACAATAATGGGAACCAGATGGACAACAAGAAACAGTTTCAACTTGACTTGGATAAGATTAGATCTGGCGAAGATACTCGGACAACTTTGATGATTAAAAATATTCCTAATAAGTAATGGCAACTTCTAAATTCTTGTACCTTGTTAAGTATAGCTTATTTTTGTCTTGGTGACTTGACATTGTCTTCATCCAGGTACACCTCCAAGATGCTTTTAGCTGCTATTGATGAACAACATAAAGGCACTTATGATTTTCTGTATCTGCCAATTGACTTCAAGGTAATCCTACTAAAGTAGTTCGGATTATGTGGTTTATTGTTTTTTCCCAAAGTCTGATTAAAATTCTTGTTTGCGGCAGAATAAATGCAATGTGGGATATGCATTTATCAACATGGTGTCTCCATCACTCATTATCCCATTTTACGAGGTTTGTTTTTGTCTATTCTTTTAAACGTAGTGTATAACTTTCTTTTTCTTAAAGTAATTGAGCTATGAGCATTGAAGCTAGTGTCTCCTTGTTTTATAGTTCCCACCTTCCCATTTAAGTATAAAGATCGCTATGCCTTCTTGATTGCCTTTCCTTCTACGTGTTTGTGCTGATGTTTTGAAGGAAGAGTGTGTGCTGAGTATTCAATTTCTGCAGGCACTTAATGGAAAGAAGTGGGAGAAATTCAATAGTGAGAAAGTGGCTGCTTTGGCTTATGCTCGGATTCAGGGAAAGACGGCCCTTGTAGCCCACTTCCAGAATTCAAGTTTGATGAATGAAGATAAGAGGTGTAGGCCAATACTATTCCACTCAGAGAGCTCGGAATTAGGGGATCAGGTAATATAGACCGTCTCATTAAGAATTAAAGCATGCAAAATATAACTACAGGTGTTGTGCATTATGATTCCGCTTGCTTCCCAGATATGTTCTGTTTGGTTTCCTGGTTTTAGCTTGTTTCGTGTTCGTCATGTCAGCTGGCTTTGATTTTTTTCCTCTAGTTTTCAGGCTATGTGATTGGATTTTCTTATCGAGATGATAACATTGAAATTGCAACTTTTGCATCAAAACACAATTATAGCTAAGGTGAAAACTTTCATGCAGATTGTTCAAGAGCATCTTTCATCTGGGTGCTTACATATTCATCAAGTCTGTCGGTCAAACGAGTCAGACTTCCTGGAGTCACAAGGTAGCCCACCCGAGGAGGATCCAGTTGACAAACTAGAGAATAGCTAGCATTGGCATTCACAGTTTTTTCTTCACGGCTTGAAGAGTTTGTAGCTGTTAGTTGGTAAGTGTCGATAGACATATGTAGAGTAGCATGATTCGAGGCACAAAATAGAAGTATGACGTTTTGTATTATAGTGAGTAGGTGTTTTTGGTTAGAAATCTCTTAATAGGAAGAGGGTTCTGAATTATGTGGAATCGAAGCATCTGCAGTTCTTGATGTTGTAATCTTTTGGCAAATTGAGATAGCAAATACTATCTCAATATAGATTGCAATGTTGTAGTTTTGCAACATTTTTGGTGGATGGAGTAAAGAGCTGATGCTTGATTTGTATAGTGGGAGGAAAGCTGACTGTTATTTTGTGTCAAGTGTTTATGGAAAACCCACACTCCTTTTTCTAGGGAGAATTACATATCTTATGATATTTCTGTAACACGTCTTTATATATTACATAAACTTCTCTGGAGACTATTCTATACTTTTTTTTTTTTTTTTGAGAAGGTAACAATTTTCATATTAAAAGATAGTAGTCCTTAGCACAAAGAATGTGCCAAGGAGTAAAAAAAGTGTTACAAGACCCAAAATGTTGCAAAAACTGTAACAGCTACAAGGAACCAATGAGACTATTTTGTACATCAGCAATAACATTTTGTATTTATGAGGTTTATTAAAATGACTCAGCAATACTATTTTGTATAATGACTCACCCTGGCCAATAACACAAGAAGCGAGCATTTAATATAGCGTGTACAATATTAAAAACACGTGTTTGATATTAAATGGGAAAAAGATTTGTTTTCAGTAATATCATACATAGTAATTATAACTTGATGGATCTTTTCCAGTTCCAGTTCTCGACAAGTTATTCAAAAAAAAAAAAAAAAACCTACTAAAGATTATTGGCGCCACTTATAAAAACATATTTCACGCAAAAGGTATAAAGAATTAATTTTGATTTATTTATTCAATTCTTTGAAATAAACAAGCTTTTCTATTCAGGAAAACAGCATTTTGAAGCCTTTTATTGAGAAGATAATTTTAGAGCATTAATAAAAAAGAAGAAGATAATTTGAGAGTATTCTAATACAAATAATATACAGCATTGCCATTTACATAAATAACCACATGAAAAGATAATATCCTATGCTGCTGATAATAACATGTACAAGGCAGGAGAATCAGAATCAACTCCAAGGCTCTGTGGGCTCTAGCATTTATACTTATTGCCAAAAAAAAAAAGATCTGCAGACGAGAGTTAAAGTGTACCATTAAATATAACTTAGGACATTCTACCTGCATCCAAATTTGGACCATGTTGTCTAAATTTCCATTTTTTCAGTTCCATCCGAATCTGGACCATTATGTGTAGATTTCCCTGTTTTGAGTTCCAGGTCTATTAGGAAATTACATCTATTTTCTTCTCTAACATAGCGGACATGTCCATTCATCATATTGACAAGCTTCTGGGAAAAATTTAACGCAATTCCTTCCTGTGTTGTCCCTCTATTTCTTCCTCCAGACATGTCTTCGATTAGAGCAGCAGGTAGTCCTTGGCCAGGGTGAGTCATTCTAGTAAATTAGAAGAGTTACATAACATTTATCTGTAGAAGTCGTTTTATAAGACATACATAAAGTTATTGTAAAGCTATGGAAAATAATTGTGGCTCGGGGGAAGGGGAGTAAAGTCCTTCACAAGGTGGTTGGTTTCAAAGACTACAAGAAAGATGATAACAGTTACAAAAGACGACAACTGAGAATGTTCTTCCTTTTTTTTCTTCTCATCTCACTTGAAAGATTTAAAGTGAGTATTTGAGAACAAAAAACAAATTCAGATAAGTGAATAAAGCACTGTAATATTGCCAATGATTAGATTAAACCCAGTGAAGCACTTCTATGGTTTAACGTTATACATTGCATGAAAGGACAGACACAAGATAAAATGAGTAAGTTCATGTTGTGTAACAAACCATCAATAGATAAATAGCTCAGATCATGTTACCTGAATTGGAGATGGATACATTCATTTCCATCTTGTATGAGTTTCAGACCAGGTAACACCTTGATTTCCACCCAACCATCGGGGGAAGGTGCATGATGAACTACACTAAGCAAGAAATCTGAGAGAATAAGCTGAAGCTTAATTTGATCACCATATAGAGGAAGAGTTTTGATCTGGTCAGGGATATCATGCAGCAGCTGTAAGTTCTTTTCCTTGAGCAAAATCATTACTTGACTCACGATAGCATCCACAACATTTCCTAGAACGAATTCCTCCATGTTTAGCTCCACTTTGCTGCTAAAACCAGGAGAAAGTAATGTGCGTTTAGCAGACCTTTTAAACAAGCTAGTAGCATGGGGATGATCTGAAGTAAATCATAGGGGTGAGGAAGCAGAAAAATTACCAACACAAGAAAGTCACAGGGAAACAAAACAAGAGAAACTAAGAATCAACATAAATATATGTGGTGGCTTATTGTTGCACTGGCGAATACAAAAGAGTCTTTACAGTAGCTTTAGAAGAAGAGTAAACTTATAATGTGTTTGCAGTCTTTTGGGTACTTCTCTCTGTTTTTTCTTTGGGCTCCAGTAAACTGATCGCATGCCTCTTGAAAGCTATTTTCAAGTAAAATTAACAGATAATGAGAACCAGCTTCTCAAGACTAGGGGTGGCAATTTGAGCCCAAACCCATCCAACCCGCCCAGAGATTAATGGGTTCGGCTACAAATATTTTAGCTCATGGGTCTATTTGGGTTGAGCCCAAGTTGTCCATTCTGACCCATTAAGTAGCCCAAATATGACCCATGAAGCTCACCCAAAACAAAGGGATCTCAACCCAACTTATCTAGAAATTTACTTAGCTGCCCCAATTTTTATTTTATTTTATTTTTTATTTTCAATTTTCTATTTTTTTTATTTTTCTGCACCACCCACCCCCGCTACCCCCCCTACGCCCCTAACCCCCTCAATTTTTTTTTTACTTTTTTTTGTATTTTTAATTTTCTGTTTTTTCGTTTTTCTGCATCACCCACTCACCCCAACCCCCGCCGCAAAATATTTTTCAACTTACACATTTGAAATACTAATTTGTTATTTAAAAAAATATATTTTGATTCTCAAAATACTACTCCCTCTGTTCCAGTTTATGTGAATCTATTTCCTTTTTGGTCCATTCCAAAAAGAATGACCCCTTTCTAAATTTGGAAACAATTTAGCTTAAACTTCCAGCTCTATCCTTAATGAGAAGCTTTTATAACAACACAAATACTCTGGACCCCTTTTTGACTTGTTTAGGACTAAAATTCTAAAAGTCTTCATTTTTTCTAAAACTTCGTGCCCAGTCAAACAGGTTCACATAAATTGGAACGGAGGAGTAATAGTATTTATTTACCTTTTATACATAGGTGTATAAAAGATAAAAGGCTTTGTTTATGCAAGGTGAGCATGGTTTAAAACATGGGTCAAGTTGGGCGGGTTGGGTTATAACCCATTGTTTAGCCCATCTTGACCTAGCCCATCTTAGCCCAAGTATACTTTGGGCTGGGTTGGGCAATGACCCATTTATTGACCTGACCCATCTTGATCCACCCAAATTCAGCCCAACCTGCCCATTTGCGACCCCTACTCAAGACTGGGATACAGTGTCCAAATATAGCTCATCAACTAAAGAACTATCAATACGAGGCCAAGCAAATATGAATAAGAAGTTGCAGCCTAGCAAACTTCAAGCAAATTACTCTATAGTTGAATTTACAGAAATTAATATAAACCATGATAAGGGAAGAGTTGGTGTAGTGGAAAGATGAGAGGTAACCGCTACTCTGTAACCACTGGATGAACAACCAATTCAGAAGGTCTTAGAAGAAAGAAAATTATTCTCTGAGATCATATACGAGATTTCCTCTATCATAAAGTTATAATCAGTTGAGTGGAACATATAAAAATATAAAAGAAGATATAGAATTATTTTAATCAGGGTTCATACAGAGGAAGCATTACCCGTCCTCTATACTTCCAAAATCCATATTGTCAATAACAGACAGTATCTGTTTCTCACAGGCTTCACTTGTCTCCAGAAGCTGCTTCTGATTATCTGAAACACAGGTGGCTTCAAGGAGTTTATGGGTAAACTGGATCCCATTGAATGGATTTTTCATCTGCTGTCTGATATAAGAAAATTCTTTAATTTTTAAAAGGGATTCTTTATTGTCTTGTCTCTCATCCGATGCCTCTGGGTCGACCAGTGTAGGCTGCAAGAAGCAGAAACACCCAATTACATTCCCATGCTCATCAGTTCTCTTGTTTGCTGTTAAGAACACTTCCACAAACTCCCCTGTCCTATTAAAAAAGCCAAATGGAAGCTTTTTGGTGTCACGGCCACTAATTGCTTGGTAGAAAAGGATCATAAATTTGGTAAGCGCATCTTGTCCCCTAAGACGACAAAGACCACCAAAAATTTCACCAGGAAGTGTTCTCCCCAGGATCTCATATCTTGTCCAACCAGTCAACCTTTCCATTGCTGCATTCCACTCCGAACAGCAAGCATTTTCATCAGAAGCAAATATTGGTGGAATCAGTGGATTAAGACTTTGTACAATAGCCTCATAATCTCCTTGCAACTGAATAAATTTATCCATGACAGCTTTCTCAGGAGTGACATCTTGAGCCACAAAGCACACACCAACAACATCATTTTTGTGGTCCCTGCTTGTGCAGGTATTAGTCACAAGGTATATAACTGATTTTGGTGGATCTTTCCCAAATATTCGCAACTTTATTTTCACATTTTTGTCCTCCTCACCTGAATCATAAGTTATCACAAGTTACAATGAGAGAGAGGTGGAGGGGGAGGGTGCGAGAACATTTACCTAGAAGAGGAAAAGTGGTCCTTTGCAATTAAAAGAGTGCACTGAAAGAGTAAGCTAATTTTCACTATACAGCGGAGATGACTGATTAGTCATTGCTGAAAGCACAGTATTGCCCCAAATGTAGATATGCAGGTAACTGCGCATGTGTTGTAATATACAAGATGGCAAGCCGATTCAATAAGTGTAGGTAAAAAAAGTGTACGTAGCCAATTCTCTTACCAGTAGGCATGAATTTCAAATCTAAGAAGGTAGACCATCAAGTATAGACTGCAGTGCATAAAGAATGAAGATAAAAAGAACACAATGAACACACATATATAGAATTATAGCCATCGGATGTAAAGCATGTTTCCAAATTATAATGATAACTATTAAGGCTAAAAAGAAATACCTAACAGAGCTTTACATAGAGCCTTTTCAACAGTTTCATGTGAATCTTCATGAGCAATATCATTAATGAGAGATTTTCCAATAGCTTCACTAGCTTGCAACCCTGTTAAGTCAGCAATCTTCCCATTCCATCCATTTATTAAGCCAGATGGATCAACCCCGAAAATTGGAGCAGTGGCCGTCTCAATCAACCTAACCATTTCCATTGCCACAGA